TACCTGTCTATCAAATACCTGTCCTTATTCCTGATAAAACCCAGTTTTCAAACTTCATATCTTAGTTTTATACTTGATAATGGGGTCAAACCCGAAACCTGTCATATAAATAAAATCGACTAGTGGTAATTAGACAAAAATGATTTTATTCATTTCATTAAAGTGTAAACGTTTCTGTTTTACAAAAAGGAGCAAAGTTTCGAGATCCCTGCCAACCACTCTTCTTTGAACAAGGAATCCTTATTGTAAGTTTACTATTTACCCTTGAAACAGTAAATTAGAAACCTAAAAATATATATGCTCTTTATAATCCTAACCAGTCGCATTATAATACAAGTGAAACTAACTTGATCAGATATCTCCTGCCCAAGACTTATTTATTTTCATTTATATTCACTTAACACAACACGAAACGGATATTTACAGTTATTGAGTACTTTGTTAGAGATATATTGTTAGCCAGCGGCTCTGAATTCACCTAAGCATAAGGTATGTTTGTGCTGTGATTATTCAGTTCCTCTGACTGGCAATTAAAAACATATCCTGCACATTTATTGAGTCACTACTTCGTGTTTACCATAAATCAAATAGTCTGGATGCGAGGAAGCAAATACATCAGCTGAAGATGTTGAGTATTGAAATTTTATTTAAAAAAATGAAATTCCAGACAAAAGTGTTTTTATTCATTTCATTAAAGTGATCATGAATTACCATAAAATAAACATGTCATCAATCACACATATTTTAGTGACTACTTTTATATAATTTTTAAACATAGCCCAAAAATGTTTGTCAACAGAAACTAATTTTTTCAGGCCAATAAAAAGCATTTTTCTCTCTAATCTTCTGTGAATCACATGAGTTGAGATTACTAAAATTTTACGGAGATTAAAGTCAAACCTAAATCGCTGTCACCACTCTCAGAATGTGTTAAGGATTCTTTGGCAGCACTTTTGCATCTCCATAAAGAAAATATGTTATTCAACATACTCCGTCAGTCTGATAGATTTGAGTCAAGACAGATGACATAGTTTTCCATACTTCATCACTTAATTGAGTTTTGAATTTAATAAATACTAACATGATCCACCTTTCTGGTAGAACTTTATGAAATATTGCAATATGCAGAGAACATTGACTTGAGGCCTCAACAAAATGACCTGAACAATCTCCTTACAAACAGTTAAGTCGCCCTCAGGTCATTGATGAAGCTAACGGTACCATCAAGACTGCTGGAATTACTTTAAAGGATAAGGAGAACTAGTGGAAAGGAATATATTGACTATACTGGGTACCAGAATATTCAGGAATCACAAGAAACGAAGAAGAGCCCAACAGATTTCAAAAAAGTTATCTTTCAAAAAATGTCTATTGACTATGAATACAATACTTGTATTATTTGTGGCAAGAAATACAGAAAAAACTTGAAATAATTTAAATAAATATGTGCCATATTCAAGTAACAGTTTATTGTGAATTTTCATTACAGTTTCACAAAAACACAACACGTATTTCACTATGCAATAGCTTCTTTATAGATTTTCATTAAGTATTGCCCAATTCCATTACATATCTGAATATGTGCCGCTTTATGTTAATAGAAATTTACGTGAAATGCATATCTTTACTAATGTTCCACACCTATAAAGATTATAATATCAAGAAATTGCAACTTGGATAAAAAACTGTTGCATTAATTAGCCTTAAACTGCAAATGAACAAATTCATTTAAATTATTTTAGAGGTGAATTTTCCAGAATTGAAGTACAGAATCATTTCTAAATGCTGCGACCTTTGAAATTCACTTGATAAAACTAGTGAAATGGGTACTGAAATTTACTCAAATGAAAACTATAAAACGAACAAGGTTAGTAACTTATTTGAATATTGTAGATAAGAACATATTACCCCATTGTATACTCTAATAAAATTCATTTTCCATCACAGCCACTTTACTGAATTACTGGCAGTATATGAAAAATTAGCAAAAATGGTGATAATGCCTTCGACAGATTTATAATTTTAAGCAATCAAAAACATAAAATGAGAAAAAGCACATTTTTCAATCTATTCACTCATGTTAACAGACATAAAATATCACCTCTAGTGAGTTGTCTAAATACTAATATAAACATTATTTACTTTCAATTTTATGTTAAAACAGTTATTTTACCAAAGAATGTAAACTTTCACAGTCGGAAATAACTGTGTGGAAGTTATTTTCCAGTTTTTTTGACCGTAGACTGCAGGTTTTTATGCCTGACGTTTTGTCTACTACTGCGGTAGTCATTTTCAAAGGCAATGTGGTAATGGTCGCAGTGACCAAGTTGGTGCTCGGGTTAATGTTCCCGTTGTTTCCAACGCAGAACTCACGATGATTGTAGTTGTTTTGGTTTCATATTATTATTGGTGAGCATGGCTTGGTTTCTCATAACTGTGTGTACCATTAAGGACAGGTAGCCAGATTTTTATTAAAGTTCATTGCCTCTTCTTTTCTATTGAAAGAGAAAATCTAAGGTCAGCCGACAGGTCACCTGGGTAAACCGGATTCCTTGTAGCTGCAGGTGGGTCTACATTAGAACAACGAAAAGAAGTATAGGTGTCCGTCTTTTTGAACACAAAAGAAAATGTTGATTCGTCAAACCGACAAATCAGCCTTACGCAAACATGCTCTCATTCGAATAATATTCAATATTTTCTGGTTGAGACTACATGCTACCTTTTCTCTTGAGCATGTCAAGAGCTGGATTAATTTAAATCGCGCTTTCCCAAATCTTGTTTCATGTATAATAGCCGCCAACCATTTTCTATCTCAAGTCACTATTTCTCTAACACTTGTCGTTTCATTTTCGTCTAGATGGCAAACCGTGTCTGTTTGAGGTTCATTAAAGTGTAAGTGAACTTTCCAATCTTAATATATAAAATAAAGTCGCAAAATGACTTCATTTATAACTCAAGAAAGGCTGAACCGATTTTCATGATTTTTTATTTCCTTGATTTTTCTCCACCCGGAATAAAATAAATAACTATCGAAACATTTGTGAATAAAAAAAAAATTGACGATACACAGAAGAGAAATTGTCTTCTCGGACAAACCGACGAATCAGCTGTAGCCGAACATGCTCTCAACAAAGAACATTATGTCATTCAAAGATACAGTAATACTCAATACAACTCAAAATTACCATTCAAGAGCATAAAGAGGTAGTAGAAATTAGAAAACACAGGGATAATTTCAATAGATGAGAAGAGAAAATGAACATTAATAAAATCTGGCTACCTGTCCTTAATGGTACACAAACAAGGTCAGGTAATCCATTTCATCAGTTTGAAACATTGTCAACCACCTTCAAACAAACGTCAGGTAATCCAATCGAGAGAGACCAAGTCACGCCCACCAATAGTAATATGAAACCAGAATCAAATACCAGCATTGCAGTTTGTGCATTGGTGACAACAAATCGAGCACCAACTCGAACACTGCGACCGTTACCACATTACCTTCGATAATGACTACCACAGTAGTAGACGAAACGTCAAGTATAAAAACCTGCAGACCACATCAAAAAAACCCGGAAAACAGCTTTCACGTAGTCATTTCACCAATAATTTTTGAGGTTTATGGACTTTCACACTTCTAAAACCAAGAGTATTTAATAAAAAAATCAAATATGGATGGAAAATTACTGAAATGCCAATGAAATGGTACTGTGTTTGGATGAAATTCAATAAAAAAAAAATCAATTAACTACAACAATTCTTTTTATGAATTTTATCTATATATTTCAAAGCACAAATAAGAATTTCAAATGAAAATATAGTTCCTTTGAACGTTTTGAGAAATGACTGTTCCCTCTTTGAAATTTTTTGAATCTTCAAAAATTAAACTTGAAATTGTTTAGAAATATCAGTCCAGTTTTTCCAAATTAAAGGAACATGTATTTTTATATCTATTCAACATTAAGTAGTTTCAAGTAACACTTGCAGTTTACGAAACTGCAGTCACAGGCTCATTGAGCTGAACGTAAATTTGACTTCAGGTTCACCATCAACGGTAAAAATATTTTCAAGTACTCTCTTTTATCTATTGAAATTAACCGAAAATTTAAAAATTCTAAATTTACTTCTTTCAAATATATGATAAATGAAATATTTGTTCAATTTCAGCCATTTAAATGCAAAACCAACTTTAAGTTTTCACGACAGAAAATAAGCTAGGAAAAATGGTGGCATAGTGTGGAACAGTTTCCCCATATTATCGATTAACACCTACAGAAGTGCATTGCTTCAAGCGATTTGTGAACATTTGGTGTCAGTTTTTCTAATGACTTAGGACTATTTAGCCAGGATAACCGATATTCCCAAATACAAAACAAGTTTCCTCGTATTCAAATACAATCTTCCGAAAAGTTAGTTATATTGTACAATTAAAATTGCAAATTAAAAGGTTCACATACTAACCTTGAAGTGTTTGGGGTTGTTTAAGGTGTGATACATCATTTTTATTTATATTCACTTAACACAACACGAAACAGATATTTACAGTTATTGAGTACTTTGTTAGAGATATATTGTTATCCAGCGGCTCAGAATTCACCTAAGCATAAGGTATGTTTGTGCTGTGATTATTCAGTTCCTCTGACTGACAATTAAAAACATATCCTGCACAATCTTCCGAAAAGTTAGTTAGTTTGTACAATTAAAATTGCAAATTAAAAGGTTCACATACTAACCTTGAAGTGTTTGGGGTTGTTTAAGGTCTGATACATCATTTCAAATTTACCCCTCAAAACCTCTTCCTCTGGTTGAATTGCTATTCCAAGCTTTCTAGAACTCTCTTGTTTCACCAAAATCTGAAGGAAAAAAAATTTAAATTTGTATTGTTGAATCGATTAGTTATTTTATACGTTTGCCAATCATTCAAATAACCAAGAGGTATAAATAATTCATACTGAAAAAGTATTAAAACATTTTCAATGTGTAGGGTGAAACATGAGTAAGTAAACAGAAATCAATAAAAAAAAACAATGAATGAAAAGAAAAAGAAGATTAAAAAACAAGAATGGATAAAAAAGATACAAGAGTCCAGTTTCTGGGAAACATCCTTTGACTTTCTACTTCTCCAACAATATACAGAAAGTGAGGAATTTCTGAAAAGAGGAAGAGAAAATTAAATAAATTATTGGAAGCTCCTTGCAAAGATGTGCAGATTGTGTACAGACGATTCTTTCATACACATACTGGAAGAAAAAATCCAAGTAGTTGTTTCGGATGGACTTTTTCCCAGTTTGTATCTGAAAGAAACTTCTATGCAAGAGCAAGACATCTTTGTAGAGTTTTTACTGGTGTATTCAACTTAGTTTTTTCTTTCTCCTTTCTTCTGAAGTTCCCAACTTTCTATATATGGACATGATAAATCTCTTCTAGAATATATATATTCCCTTTTCAATGAAAAATGCCAGTTGCTTAAAAAATCTTTCTTGAGTTGTAGAGAATAATAATCAACAAAGGACTGTGATTATAAAATGAATATTACAATTTGAAATGTTGAATATTTTTTTTTTGTATTGAGTACTCTCAATTTTATGACTTTTTTATATTTCATTTCATTGAAAAGTTTTTTATTATATTTCATGAATAGAAAAAAATCATGTCCCTAGGAGAATTCTCTGAAACAATAACATACAATGTTCAATCACTTGCCTATATAATCGCATTATATATGAATACAAAAAATTTGGTAAAACGTTAAAATATATATTGCTAAATGAGCCTATTGACGAATTTCATGAAGTTTTCAAATTAATAAAACGGTGACTCATATTTGTTATAGTATTAACATTTTTTTTATCCCATTTTTTGACATTTGTACATTGTTATACAGTGTGGAGGACATAAATAGTCCCCCTCCCTCTTAACTTTCAAAGGAAACAAGATATCGAAGTCGAAAAAAATTTACTCAAGGGCTCTATTGAGAGCAATACCAACTTTGTTTTCAAATCGAAAGGGTGGTTTTGTGATATCTCGTTTGATAGCTTTTGATACCTTTTAATTTTATGAAATCGGATTAGCCGCTCCCGAGTAAATAATTAGCAGTTTTATATTCATTTTTTAAATCTGCAAAAATGTATCTATATATAAACAGTATATGTGAACTGCGGTTGTGTATCGTACACTTCAACAGTCATGTATCCACTCGAAAAACATCTGGAGGCGTCATATCACGTGACCTAGTGGGCTCTTCTGAGGAAGCATGTCTTGTCTACCAGTTTGGATGATTGACAAACCCAAATGAGTTTTCAACTGACATTATGTTTCAGCAAGATAAGGCTGGTATGAAAGTGGCTAGATGACAATTATCCAAACAGGTGGCTAGATTAGATTATCTGATATGAAAATTTTGTATGACCTTGATATCATATTCCTTTCAAAAGGTTAACAGGGGCAGGGGACTATTTATATCCGGACTGTATGCCTAGTTAATTATATTTTTTGATATTTGGTGGTTACAAGTAGATTTGCATATAATACGCCTCTTAACTTTGCCAAAAAGAATTTACTGTTTCAATAAAATTTCTAGTTTAATAATCTATTTAACATTTCTTCATAACTGAGCCAAATTCAAGTTTGTTATGAGATATATTTGGTAGGTCAATTATTGTAATATTTCATTTGTACACAGTACTTTCATTTATATTTTACAAAATATATTATTCTGTATAGTGTTCTGTAAATGAATAAAAATGTTTCATTATATTTCTTTCCATTTCCAAAGTCATTTGGATTATGTTATGCTCCAGCCACCATCGAAACTGGTTTTAAGAGGTCTTCTGTAGAAAACTTGCCCTATCTATATGCGTGACTAATCATGATGATAAAAAATTCATGAGAGTGTTAAACACTTTGAAGAGCTATTATCAAGAATAATTTTTTTTCAACAAAAGCAAGTGAATTTCCTTTCACCATGTAATCTCAGAGGATGATGTACCGACCTAGCAAAGTTCAAGGTAGTTAAGAACTCTCCCCGACAAGGAATAAACCCAAGGTCCCAAATTTCTTTGAACTATGAATATACTACCACAAATTTGTGGAATACTTTGGTTGAATTGCGAAATCCCTTCTTTCCTGGCTGTGGCTCATAGCTGGCTGTGGAGGTTGAGTGGTAGAACAAACTAGTGTTCTACACTGCAGTTTTGAATTTCGCCTTTTGGTTGTTATATCCTATTTCATCCAATAAAGACCATTATTGTTATTATGAGACTTCATTCTCGTTTGCATTACATCCTTATATGGATCTGTGTTTGTCCTATTTCAAGAGGTGGCTAGGAAATAGGTTATTGGTTATTTCCGTAGAACTTTGAGTAACAATGTATCTAGAGAGTTTTCAATAGTATGAATTTCAGTTATCATATCGCAGTGCTCGCTTGCATTGAGATGTGTATACTTTATTGAGATCACTTTGTCTAGAAGTATTCGATTCTCTCAATTACTCTACTGTTCCTGAGTAAGAGAAATTATTAATATTTTTGAGGTTATTTGAACAATAATTTGTGAATTTATTGAAAACAATTACTTATGTTATGGACCTAATAAAAAGAATGATTTGTGGTTTAAAATTTGATAGATTTCATGATCATTTGGAAATACTGTCAGCTCAAATCTGACATATAACTATGACGTAGATCAGAATTTATATTGTACTGACTATAACTAAATATGAATGGAACTTTGAAGCAAAAGTGAATATTTTTTAGTTTAGTGATGACATTTTTCGCTAAGTAAACACGCAATAAGTCATTTTTTCAAATGTGACTGACTATTTATCCGTATTTTCATTGCATTATAATAATAATCTCACCTTCAATATCCTATGTTGCAATTCCATAAACTTTATTTTCAAATCGGTAATTTTTGCCACAGAAGAAGAATGTCTTGTTTTTAGTTCTGTAATATCATTGTTCACTCTTTCCAAAAACGCCTGATGCAATCCTGTTTGATGTTCTTGATGGAGCATTCTTGATCTTAAATCTGCAAAGCCATTTATTGGTACCGGTATGTACTTTTTTGGATTGGGATTATCTTGAATTGCTGCCTGCCACATTTGTACATCAATTCCTGAAAAAAATATTNAGACTGAATCCCCGAAAAACTACTATTCTATACATACATACGGTCGTTACACTATCATATATATATATAGGGCACATAGTGTTACAATACATTTATAAAAATCAGGAATGGATGTCTAATATTGGATGAAATATTTGATATATATGAAAGTTATAGCTTGGAGAACTTTCATTAGAGTAAAACAAGAATTTTCAAGAAAAAATACAAGATAAAGCAAGTTTGGTCAAGACATAATTTGTACTAAAGTGATAAATTTACCTGGTGGCGGGTGCTTCAGATACTCTTCCAACTCTGCTTTAGTGGGGGTTATGAATGGCGTAATTGCGGTGATTCCAACACTGGAAAGTTGTTGTTTTTGCACGGGCTGATTCAAAAATGAAGACAAGTCTGTAGCAGGAATTTTTCTACTGCATCCTGTAACTCCTTTTTCTGATACAGCTATTTTCACTTCTGTCTGATTTTCAGAAATAGCTCTTATCTGATTTATTTCGACAGTCAGATTAGGCCTGTTACCCAAGATCCCACCAATGCCATTTTTGAGAACTTCCTGCTGATTTCTGAAATAAATAATTGCTGCATGATGTAAATCAAAGAACCCTTATTCACTTTGACCATAGCTTTTTATTGTGTCACATCCCAAGTGCCATTAATCTATGGAATAACCGTATTTCTCTTTTTTCTTCTCAATTTGAAATATTGAGTATGCTTGCTAAAAGTAGCATTTGCTGAAAAGGTTGTAAAGGTGTAAATTTCATTGGAAGTCTAGTTCACAAGTGGCTTTTCACATAAATTCAGTTCACCTTCATTAAAAATGATATTTCCGATGCCTTTTGACTCGTCACTAATGATGTGAACTAGGTTGCGTTAACTAATAATTTAAAAGTTATAAACAATTCAGTTGAATGAAAAAAAATAATTTCTTGCAAAAACTGGAGCCTGGATTTTTTTTTGCAAGAGCTATTCTTCGGAGACTTTAACTAAATGTCCTCGTTAAAAAAAAATCGAAAAAAAAACCATTTATTTATGATCAAAGTTGAACATGAAGTATTGTACAATTAATTTTTTCAAATATTCCGGTGTTTTTTTGTTTTTCACTTTTTTTCAAATAAACAATTTGTTACACACAAAATGCACTACATAAATAAACTGATAATCAAATGATGAAAAAAAATCTTTGAAAAAATTTATGGCATAAAAACGCATTGATTCACTATTTATTTTTGCCAGTAAATGTCATTATTAGGAAAACATTTTTTAATTATCATTATTTTCGCAGCAGTGAAAATAACGATTTTTCAGAAAAATTGTTCCTCAAAATTGATATTCACAGGTAAAAAAAGTTAATTAATTAAATGCGTTTTAATAAACAAAACTTTTACCAACATATAATTTATTTCTTAAAAATCATTTCTTGCATTAATCATCAAATTCCTCCAAACAATTTCCATTATCTCATAAACAATGCATTTGATAAAAACGATTTTTTGAACAATAAGAATGAAAAAAAATATATTGAGGTTACTTTTATACACAAAAAAATAAACCAATTGAAATATTTGAAAAAAATGTTAAATGCTTTCTTTACCTTTTTAATTTTTCAACATATTTCGATTGTCTATAAATACATGGAAAATTAAATTTTTTCAATTTTTCCACCAACATTTCCTAAACACATTGATGAATAGCTCCAAAAAAACATTGCCCAGAATCATGTAAACCTTCAATATTTATGGTTACCTCAACATGTATACCTACTTCAGTTCTGAAATCTTTTTATTGAAGATCAACTTGACTATTCCTTCAGAATTCTCCTGTTCTGGAATAAGGTTGTAACCCATGGCTTTGAATCTGTAGAATGGATTTTGAGAGTCATATTCCACTGGAGGTTGGGTACTATTGTAGTAGCCCTTTCCGGTGCCCCAACAAGCTTGGAGCATGTTCCATTTTTTGAGGATACTGTCACGTTCATCATTGAAAACGTTGATGGCGTACACAGACGCAACAGCCTGTTGACTTTTTGAGACGGATGTTTGCTGGACCTGACCTGAAACATTTGAAATTTGTTGAAAAGAGTGAGTGAGGCTGTCTCATCGAGCTTTCAGTGATTCTCCTGAAAGAAGAAAGTAATGTAAGTACAGCTTGATTCAAGATTACCAATATTAGGTAATATCACTTTTATAAATGGAGAAAGTGCATTCTGGATGAAAAATAATTTACTTGGCCAAGTGATATACAGACAGTGTGTTGAATGAATATGATCATTTGGATGAAGCGAGATATGAACTCAAATCGAATGAAATTGAAGGTTGATACATAGAATCAGTTTTCACTGGCTATAAACTTTTTTGTAGTTACAGGTTACATTATTTGATAACCAACACTTTATAATGTAACAGATGAACTGCAAATGTTATTATTATTGTTTCATGAAAATATACGTAAAAATAAATTCATTAATCAGCAGGGATATTCATTACATGTCAGGGACTCACAACAGATTTCTAAATTCTTCATCTGCAACTTTCAAAGTCTCAAGTTCTGAATGTTCTTAGCAGTGACGTTGGAATCAATGAGAATAAACTATAGGAAGCTCTACTCATTAAACATATTTCAATTTCTCTTCTCTTTCATCTCTTTAAAAATTATTTGGTTGTGTACAAAAGATCAGAGATAAAGTAGATTAAATATCACATGACGAAAATTATAAGAATAATGAATTATGTTCATCCTTCAGCATCAGAAAATGGAGAATACTGAAAATGCACATAAGAGACAATAACTTTGTCAAAAATAATGAAATCCATTTATATAATATGAGTCCAATAATGATACCCATCAGCCTTTCTCCAGATTACTTGTTGCTCCAAACTTGCCCAGCTCTACTGGTATCAAGTGTTTTTATAAAATAAAACAAATAAAATAAAAATCCTGACTTGAAAAATGTTATTACTCTGTACGAGAATATTTCAATGACAAGCAATATCAATACAGGGTATTTCAGTAACTGATGATGTGTATAAATTTCAACAATAAAGTATAAATTTCAAAAATAGAATTATAATATCTACGTTGTATTCCAGTTCGATTATACAATGTATAGACATTAATGTACAATACATATCGGACTGGTCAAGTCAAATAAAAGTCAAAATTATAAATTGAGAAAACTTATACACCAACAAAATACAATAATAAAATTATTTCAATTAAAACAAAAACAAACTTTGAGGCAAATATCTTTCAGTAAGCCAGTAAAATACCATATTCTGGAGCTGAGAAACTCTTCCACATTGTAAAATGCTCTCTCAGTTTAAAAACTTTTGCAGTCTATCGTTGAATGGAAATTTGCAGCATTCACATCGATAAATTCTTGTATTTTATTAAAATAGTCAATACCGGTATAGCTGGCTAAGTTTTGACCAACAAGTAATCTGGAGAAAGGCTGATTGGTATCATTATTGGACCTGATATTATATGAATGGATTTCATTATTTTTGACAAATTTATTATCTTTTATTGTCCACTTTGGGCATCAGAATATTTTTATCGTCTGCATAGAGACTTATTTGGTCAGTTGTGGTACATGCTCCCTTAAGATAACTACATTAGATTACAAGAATAAAGAGTTCCAAGAATGGAGCCTTGTGGAACCCTTTTGTTAACAATACATCATACATCAGGTGACAGTTTGTTAATGATTTTCTAAGTATGATTTTGCTCAAGTTAGAGGTAGACCACATATTCCTATAGCTTCTAGTTCAATTGTGGTCAACGTTTTCGAAGGCTTGACTGACATCATAAAAAAGTCTTATGACGTTATTGAAGTATCTATATATGAAAACAATGCATTTATTAATGGCGTTGATCAACTGATCAGAGTATAAATCTTCAAATTTCTTAGCAATTTGCCATTGTATGCAGATAGATTTATAGTTTTTGAGATATCCTACATAACCTCCATTCTTATAAACAGAGATACATTTTAACTTCTTCACACTAGGAAGAGTTCCATATGTAATTTCAGTATTATTTCACGAAGAGGTTCAGAGATTAGTTCTGTAACATCATTCATGACCTTCCCATTTATGCCATCTATGCCCACAGCAGTTCTCGACTCTGTTTTGGATATGATTTCAAAAACATCTACTGGTGTTACTGGAGATAGGTTAGGTTAGGTAGGGTTAAGTTAGGTTAGCTGATAAGGCAATTTTTCAAGTTTATATTGATATTTAGTGCTGGTCAATTTTTGAAGGAATCTATGAAAGAGTCATTGATATAATTTGCTTTTTTTACTGGATCTGTAATGAGTTCTCCAGTTTTTGCAAAGCTTAAGCTATGCCTTTCTCTGCATCTTTCACATTACTGATCCGACACTAAACAGCACTGTTTCAACTTGTCTACGTCTTATCAGTGGCGTCCACATTTCAAACTATTCCATGTGATATTAGTTCACAATTATCACTTATTATTTCATAAACATATAAAGTACATGTAAAAACATGAATTTGAATTTACCAGTTGTAGACTGAATAGGTTTGGCCCCAAATGTAGATCCCAATAAGCCTGTAGTAGGTGCTTGAGTACCAAATCCTCCAAATCCTGTTTGCGTTGTACCAAAACCTCCAAAAGCGGGTGCAGTAGAGGTGGTTGCACCAAAACTTGTACCAAATAGAGAGGGGGCTGTAGTGGCCTGAGTACTACCAAATAAACCACCAAAACCAGTTGCAGTAGTATTAGCAGCCCCAAAAGGAGTGGTTGTCGTACTCGCTGCGGGTTGTCCGAAAAGAGAAGGTGTAGAAGTTGCACCAAAAAGGCTGGGAGCAGTACTAGTTGCAGTACTTCCTGAAAAATACCATTATTGAATACTTGAAATGTATAACAATCAATTATACTTACCGAACAAACCAGTAGGTTGGTTAGTATTCGCCGATCCGAATAATCCACCAGTACCGCCACTTGAAAATAACCCTGTTGTGGAAGGTGCAGTTCCGAATAAGCTTGGCTTATTGGCACCAAACAAATTAGACTGATCCTGTTGGGTACCGAAGGAAGTACCAAAAGCAGGCGCAGCCGATGTTGCTGTGGACCCAAATGCAGAACCGAAACTAGTACCAAAACTGGGCGGTGCTGATGATGCTGGAGTACCGAATGCCGAACCGAAACTGGGAGTTGCAGTTCCGAAGGTGCTACCAAAAGCTGGTTGAGTAGCTGCTGGAGTGCCAAAAGCTGGTTGAGTAGCCGCTGGAGTTCCAAAAGCTGGTTGAGTAGCCGCTGGAGTTCCAAAAGCTGGTTGAGTAGCCGCTGGAGTTCCAAAAGCTGGTTGGGTAGCCGCTGGAGTACCAAAAGTTGAGCCAAATGCTGGAGGTTGAGAAGTGGCGGTGCCAAAAGTAGAACCAAAACCCCCAAAACCACCAGTTGATGAAGTTGTTGGGGTACCAAAAGTAGTGCCGAATCCAGGAGCTTGAAAAGTAATCATTAGTAATTGAAATGGTGCAAGAGTGTTGAAAATAACCTATCATCTTATGTACATAAACGTGCGACACATCCAAAAATCACTTGTATAAAAAATATAATGATGAACGACACCGTTTTGATAACAGTCCAATACCAGATTAATTTGAAAAATTCATTGGATTCAGAAAATACATACTATTTCTCATAGTTTCTCATTTCAAGAATATTAGTTTTTAATGTTTCACAACGAAACTGAAATTAGATTTCACAATCATCACAATTTTGTATGTGAAAAGATCATCATTACTAATTACCACCGCTTTTCCATTTTCCATTTAATTGAAAAATTCTCAAAGCAAGTATTAATTAGATACTCGATTAATACCGAGTCACCAGAACACGTCGATAAAAGATATACGATTCTTCAAGAAAAGACCATTGGGATCAAGTTCACCAAGGGTTGCCCTCAGGGTGGGGTAGGGTATTATATCCACCATCGACGCTCCTGATGGAAAATTTGCTTGTCCTTGATAAAAGATATGGAAGGAAACCTCTAACAGCCTCCAAAAAAAAAGTTGAACGACGTTTACTGCTGGTTCCAGAGGTAGCAGTTTGCTGCAAACCATAGCAACACCGTTTTCCCTTTCACCATTAAACTTCATTTTCTTTCGAGGTGTGACTATTCCTTGTGCAGCTGAAGTGAAATATCTAGGTATTATCTCAGATAAAAAGTCACTTGAAACACCCACTTGGGAAAAGTTTTCACACAAAGCCAAAGACGAGGAAATATGTGATTATTTGTCAGACCTCCTCTCTACATATTTTTGATGAGAGAAGCTATATGGAAAGCATACAAAATTATGCACATGACTAATTGCTCAGAACAGGCTTGGCCTAGCAAATTACGACATTGAAAGTCAGATCATTCTAGAAATGACCTCCTACTCAATGCCTCCAACAGTCAACTATGATCTGCTTTATATAGTCCCAATTCCAAGTAGAGAGGACTGGATCTTCCAGAAGGACGAAACAATAAGAGTAGATTTCTGTTGGTTCACTAATGGATTGAAAATACCTTCTGGCTTTGGTGCAAGTGAATTCAGCATAGATATATCAGCCTACCTAGGAACTTATGCTACCGTATTTCAGACGTAGATCTATGCCATTGATTTATGTGTGAGGTGATTGGTGAATACCAACCTCGTACATCAATCAATAAACATATTGTAGGAAAGCCTAGCGGCAATAATGCACTCGACTTTCACCAAGCAACTAAAAAATTGGTAGTGAATTACCAAAAAAGACTCTCCTTAATAGTCTCTGGATTGGATTCCTGACCTGTAAGGTAATGAAGTTACTGACTCCCTCGCAAGGAAGGGAGCTGCAAGAGGTTTCATCGGTCTAGAATCTGGCAAAATGTACCAGGAAATGACTAATTCCAAGACATTGATACATCTTTTGAAGTATGACACCAAACAATTCTTAGATCACAGCAGGCAGGAGTTACGTTGTCTAACAGGCTTACTTACAGGTCACTGTCGTTTTAATCATTATATGAAGAGACTTACCTAGATAAAAACACGATAAAAAACAAAAACAAAATATTTAAGTTTTTATAAATTATCATCATATAGCCCGGAGATTAAACTGTTCAACTCTATTCTCAAATTAAAGACCTGAAATAATTATTTCAGAATAACCTTAATTAACCTTTTTTAAGTAAAAGTCAAAAGGCCCAAAGCTCAAACCCTGATATAAACATCATTCATAACCTTCCCATTTATGCCATCTATGCCCACAGCAGTTCTCGACTCTGTTTTGGATATGATTTCAAAAACATCTACTGGTGTTATTATGAACACTAAATTATACAAAAAACACTTTTCTCTACTCAGTTTATATTCCAAACATTTATTATGAAATTAAATCAAATATCATTCACAAGAATCCTACACGAAAAAATTAATGAAAGAAGTAAAATTTCATCTACATGGAACACTGTCATCCTCACTCTTAGACATCCGATGTTTCACTGTAAGACATATGCCTTATCGGTTCTTCAGTAGCAAATACAGATAACATTATAAGAAAAAACAGTCAATTTGGTCATGATTACGACTTTTTGTCACGGAATGGGTTGAATCCTCCCATGTCATCGATGACATGGGAGGGATTAATTTTTGGGAAAGAAAGTTTTTGAACTTCTATTTCTCCCTCTTGATATAAAAATGTGGGAATCTTCCAAAAAAAGGGGAAGAAAGCAATCAATTTCAAAAATTAACCCTATATAAAGATGTCTATATCATGCAAAGAAGTAGCTTTCAGGCACAAACTGAAAGAAAAAGATCTTTTGAAACAGCTATTTTCATATAAACATTGAATCATACAAAAGAAAAATACTTTTCTTTATTCCGTTTGTATCATAAACATTCGTATAGGATTGAAACAGATATCATTCAAGATGGAGAAGTAGAAGTCAAAAAACTTATTTTACAATGTTTACATAATTTTGGTAGAGTTTGGTAGTGTAAATGAAACACATTCATTTAATTCAAAGTTTGCAAAATGAATGTTCAAATTATATACCTTTTAATTAAGGTTTAGTAGTAGGAAAATATAATTATGATGGAGTTAGGACTATAATATCTGTACTGTACCATGCCTCAAGGATAT